TTAGTCCACTACAGCCTGAGGCCCAGTTTATTTAATTGATCTGCTTTGCAATTTGCAGATCGAGGGATGAAATTAAACAAAACAACATCAAAGTTTTTAGAGCAAATGTGAATATCCTCAAGAATTCCGTGAATCTCCAGGATCGTCGATCGATGGTTGATAGCTCGAATCAGATTCTGTGAGTCAGAATTGAAGACCACCGTCTTCAGGTTCCAAGCCGACGCCTGCAGGATTGCAGATCGAATCGCCAACGCTTCGACAACAAGGTGTTGGAGAAAAACAATAAGCACCAATAGCGCAGCGGAATAAATTTTTCCACGCTTATGTGAACCTATGAGAAAAATATAGAATACGGCAGCAGCAAATCAAAGCAGTAAAGTAAATGAGACAACGAATTATTTTACGTGGAAAACCTCCTCAATGTGAGGAGTAAAAACCACGGGACCGTAGTCCACTCAAAAATTCACTATATCAAATTTGAGTTACAACCACGTCCTCCATATTTCCACAGAACAGATCCATAGACTAAGGCTCCAAAGAGCAATCTCCAACACAAGAAACACCACAAGAGAGCAATACAAGAGCCTAGAAACAAGCAGCCCAAACGACCCTAAATTCACTAGGATTCCGGTCACCAAATCAGATCTTCACCGTACAAATCCTAGATAAACAAGTCAGAAATATCTCTGACAAATTCAACTCAATCCAAGAAGAATTCACCGTCGGATTTCCCAAACACTCAAGACAACACAGTCTAAAATCTGAATTCGCAACAGCAGCGAACAACCTCGCTAAAACCCAGATATGCGATGAAACAACCGTTGAAATACAATCTCCACCGTTGAATATCAAGAGCACTGAGTCACGAAGCTAACCCAAAAATTTCAGCCAAATCGGAGCACGTTTAAGCCTCCAAACGTTCTCTTGAACAAACCCTGACGAAACTGTTTTTCTCCTTCTTAGCCTACGAAAATTGCCTGTCTTCAATTAGTTTCTCCTGACACCAAAATTAGGTTTGGAGTCATATATATATTCTCTCATAATACTTAGCCCAATAACAATCTCATGGATCATAATAGGCTCAAGTTTGAATTTTCTTAAACCAAACCTAAATTAGTTTCTCCGAGGAAAACCAACACAGGCAGAGGAAACGTTGGCCTCTGATCCTGAGTGTTCCAGTATGGAGTGAGGGATCGATTCGAAGGTGCATCCAATCCCTGCCACGCCCGAATTGGCCAGCCATGCCGTAGCGGTGAAACAAACGGTAGATCCGACCTTGTAGGGTCGCGGATTTGAAATTTGGATCGCTTGTGTGAAAGCAATCTGACTAGGAGCGGTCTGTTGAGCGGCTTGCCACTCTCGCGCATCCTGAAGGGCTTTGTGTATAGTCTCCTCCACCGTGAAGATTCGATTGCTAAAAATCTGATGGTTTCGAGATGTCCTCAGATTCCAACATATCCAGGGAGAAAGGGTTCCTCTCTCCAGTCCTACTGGTGGTAGAGAGAATAGTTTCTTAACTCTTGCAATTCCCGTCTTAACATCAGCAATCTGAGAGGTATCGAACGCTTCTGCACTTGCCTTTTTCCATACTTCTTTCCCAAAAGGGCATAGAAAGAGGAGATGTAGAGCTTTACATGTGGCTGTAGATGTGAGAGTTCGGAGTCGTTTCTACATTCTCTCTTTTTTCTATTTCCTTTTTTCTTCTACTCAAAATTCCAGTTTCTTTTAGAATGTAAAGAAGGAGAGGCTAGGATCATGCCCAAAAACTTGGATTTATCACTTCAGAAAAAGGCCTCTCTTGCTGATTTGTGCCCATCTCTCCCTCTCTCTCTGGTTGGATACGGTTTTTTATTACACAATCAAGGGTTTACATGATTCTACTAGTTGCTACTTGCTACGATATCTTGCTTATAACAATACACTTTTTTCTTTTGTTAGATGGAAAGCCAAACGCAACATGAACATAACAAGAGAACCAGTACTGTGACATCCAATAAGAACCAGTATTGATATTTTCTTCTTCAAGAAAAGTAGTGAATCACCAAATAAAGTCCATAACACTGTCACTAATCTGGCTTCTTGTGATTGTAGGCAGCAGTTGTGCAACAACAAAACACAAGCATGTGAACATACAAGATGCAGAACATGAGTAGAATGAGACACATCTTTGTGCATGAGCCATTCGACCATCCACAACCGTAAGACGTGGAGGAGTGATTTTGGCTTCTTGTGATTCTATGTTGGGATTTGGTTTGTCTAAAACAAAACACAAGCATGTGAGACTCATCTTTGTGCAACCGTGACAACATCACAAACCAAATCACATCATGAAACTGAATCTGGATCTTCTTCTTGTGAATGGCAGATTACTCTTTAAACAATTTGACATGACAGAAGTAACTCAAAACCATCATGAGGTTCACCACCGTCATTCAAGATAGAGAGAGATAGAGAGGCTTTAGAACAAAGAGCCATTGACACGTAGGTTTTAGAACCGTCACGTTTCTAAACAAATCTGATTATAAAAATAT